ATATAATAAGAATTAACATTTATCCAAAATAGTAGGTCAAATTATGGTCAATGTCGGATTTGCATTAAATATTTTCCAAAACCGGTAAGTTTTTGTCCTTTTCACACTTCTCATTAATTATGTCTTTTTCACACTTCTCATTAATTATGTCCTTTTCACACTTCTCATTAATTATGTCATTTTCACACATCTAATTAATTCATTAATTACGACATAATTATCATAAATCATTCCATCTGAGCTTTTATCGTTAAAATGTATATCGATCTGTTATGACCTTATCCCATTGATATTTCCATGAAGCGTCCTTATCGCGTTCTATTTTTTGGTAACCACTCTATATCAATAACCGGATATTTAGTTAATGATAGCACACGTCTTTATTTCAAGGAACGGATATTCTTTGACCTTTAATTAATCTGAACTGATTGCCTTGACTTTTCAATTTTTAAAAACTCTTTTTTTAAATATTTCGGCTTGAGATTCGGATTTCATTATACAAGTCATCGGATTGTTTGAATGAAAATGAATGAAAAGAACACCAAAAATAGGTAGCCTTATTCATATAACCAATCCTAAAATATTAATTTGTTCACCAAAAAGAGACAAATCCTAGAAATCCTAAAATATTAGTTTGTTCATCAATCCTAAAATATTAGTTTGTTCACCAAAAATATTAGTTTGATTTTTAGGATTTGTCTCTTTTGAAAATATTAGTTTGTGATAATGAGGAGTTACCAAATAATACAAACTCATAATGTTGTGTACAAGGAAGTTTTTAATAATATATGATTGTTACCGAACTTTTTATGATTCAACAATGTTCCTATGTATTTTAATTATTTCAATTTCGATCCTAATGCACGTGAGATTATATTATTCTTCCAAATTTTACATCTCGTGCATCGCACGGGTTACGTACTAGTTTAACATTTATCAAAAATAGTAACAAAAAAATAGGTCAATAATTTAATGCAGCCTATAAATAGTAAGTTTTATTATTTTTCTTATTTTTTCTTTAAAAATCATACAACATTAAATGCTACCTTAAATTTCGGGCTTTAGTTCATTTTATTATTTAAAAAATCCAGCTAAGATTTATTAAGGGTGTATGTTTTTATTTTTATTTTTTTTCTTAGAAACAACAAACAATATTAAATCTCGGTCTCTATATTTATAAAATCTCAATTCAAAATATAACAAAAGTTTTTGAATCTCGGTCTTTATATTTGTGCCTTAAAATAAATTGAACGCTAAAAATATTCTTTAAATTGCATAATCAATCAATTAATCTTAATTTTTTGAAATGTTTAAA